CTCACTGCTTTTGAGTCAATTCTCAATGACAGCGACCCTCTATAGGGATTCTGAGGCTGGGGTCTTAATGGGAGTAGCATACAGCTTCATCGTTCATTTGAGGAGCAGTTGGTGGATTTGAACCGCCAATCTTTTGGTTAGCAGTACAACACATACCAAGTAGGCGCACCCAAAATTGAGCTAACTCCATCTAGCTTTTCACACAGAAACTTCTCATTTTGCCCTTCCACCTCCCCCTCCAATCCCCCATTCCCAGCGATTCCTCAGTGTCAAGGCAGGCAGTGAAGGCTAGGGAAAAGATTGAACCGTCCTTGGGGCTTGGCTAGTGTTCTGAGCCTCATTTTGCCCATTTGGACAGAGGGTGGAAATGGTATCTGGTCCACTTCCCTTGAAGATTTGCCATATAGCTAAATGAGACATTCGATGTGAAAATAATTAGAAAAATTAAATCACCCTCCACAAACCTAAGCTATTAATAACAATTCTGGCTATTAATATCATGCAGCCAGAGGCCCTGGCACTCCCAGTGCCACGCCTGCCTAGCTCTAAGATTGGACACAGGCTCCCAGGACCAGCAGCAAAGTTTGTTGTTGGGAGAAGAGGCTCTGAGACCAAGTTTGACTGGCTCCCTCCTCCCGCACAGACTCTTGTCAGCTCTACCTTTTATGACCAGCTCCAGGGGCTCACTGGGCACAGACCACTTGAAGGGACGCGATTCCGTGTGAGTGTGGCAGCTATAATTGCCTTCGTCTTTATCCTCCATTCTTGGGATTGTAAAGAAAGCTTCTTTCCCAACAGCACCAAGTTGCTGGACAGGTTCATGCTCTCCCTCCTTATACAGAGCAAACCCCATGCCTGCCAGCCATCCTTTGCACCGGATTTGTAGTTCTTGGCCCCGGATTGGAGGGGGAGCAGAAATGACAGGTTTGGGGAGGATGTCTGGAAAGTGAAATGGGTGTGTCGGGGGGGAAGGGAGTCAGAAGTTTGGAAGTGCCCAGATGGGACACCACTAGTTACTTGTGTCAGTGGATAAAAGAAATGAACCCTGCGTCCGCCAGGGGCTCTTCCGGACAGTTTCCCGCACTCTCTTCCCTGCCCCACTCCTGAATCTCCCACTCAGCACCCTCCTCTCTGCGAAGCGCAGCAAGGGTCGCCAGCACTCCCGCATCCACCCCCACCCGCCTCCCAGGGCACAGTGTTGGAGTCCTGAAGCAGAGCAGCTCACTCCCCCGTCCCCCAGAGGTCCTTGTACCTTTGCTTACCTGTCCCCACCAACTCTAGTGCCTCACTGGGCTCTGACACGGCCATCTCTTCCCAGGAGTGGCAGTGGTAACTCCCGATGTGACTCTGGGTCAGGGCGCCAAGGGGGAAGGCAGCCCGGACCAGCTTTGAGGCTGGGCGAGTTGCGATCCACCCGGTCCGGTCCTTGAGCAGCACAAACTCCTTAGTTGAGCCAGAAGGACTTCTGCACCACAGGGTTAAGTTCTTCCACGGGGCCAGAGGAAAGTTGGTCTCTGCCCACAGCTCAGGCTTTGGGGTTGGCATGATTATTTCTAGAAACAGCAGAGTTAATGAAGCCGTCTCCCTGCTTCCTCCCGCTCCCCCTTTCTATGAATCTGTCTTTCTTGTCCTGGCGCCCCCTACCCAAAGCCCACCAGCCCACCTCCTCTTTCACCCCTAATCCACACAAAACTCCCCTTCTTTCCACAGGTGCTGGGTCAAGAGGAAGCCAATGCCTCAGCTGAGACTCCGAAAAAGTGTAGAAGCTTTGAGGGTTTTTTTTTGTTTTTGCAGCCAGAAACGAAGAGTTGGAAACTGGATTTTGCAGGGAGCTTTAGCAAGTGTCCCTTCCTGGCTGTCCTTTCCTCCCAACCAGTCCCTCTCTGGCCACTGTCACTGACACTCAGTAGTTATTTCGGAGCTCCACGGAGGAATGTCCCAGTCTGGAGCAGGAAAAACTCACCAGTCTCTTCTGTCACTACCCCATTGCACAGTCCTGCAAAAGAAAGTGCTGCCAGGACTCTGCCCCTTCCCCCGCGGGATTTCACTCTGGCCTTCTGCCCAGGCCCCTTCCCCACCCCCCACCCCTGGTACTCACCACAGCAGAGAAAGGCCATGACGAGGAAGAGCATGGTGACCCTTTGAGCTGTTCCCAGCAACCAAGCTTCTCTAGCGAGACCAGAAAAGAGAAGAGAGGAGTTGCTGGGTTTAAGGGGAGGGCGGAGAGAAGGGGGCGGCAATTTATGTCATTGGCTTACTCACCATCCAATAGGAACTGGATGTGGCCAGGATAATGGGATAGAATCTTTTCTGACATTGATGACTTTTCCTTTGGAGGGCTTCACCCCCTACAGCCCCCTTGCTCTTTCAGGATCCAAGGGCCCCACCCCCTGCCCTCCCCTTCCCCAACCTATATCATATGTCAGCTCTCCATGCCCCCTGATTGGGCTGTGGCTGAAATTGAGATGTCAGATGTGAAAATGCTTTTGTGTATCCAGCTCTCCAAACCCCTGGAGCTCACTGGGATCGGCAGCTGTGGGGCCGGGGGTGGAGGGAGAAGTTCTCTCTGTCATCTAATTTAAGTTGGGAAGCAGTTGTTATTGTGGCAGTATAGGTCCTCAGACCAACCTGCCTCTCTTGCCTTTGTTATGGAAGGGTTGCCTAGGCAGCCACTGTGAAAGACTGGAGGGTTGTCAGTGCTGAACTATGCTTGTCAGAGAGTGGGATCTCTCTCCCCACAGCCAGAGTGTCACTAGAAATGCGCAGCAGCTTTGGGTTATAGGTACAGTGATATTAGACGATCTGAAGTCAAAATCCATTTCACAGTTTTTACTTAGAAAACACTGACCCTTCTTCCTGATCAAGCAAACCTGCTCTTTGCAAGCTGCTTTCTCTGAAATGTAATTTCAGATCTCATTCCTGGATGCAGCGGTCCTTGGCAGGGGTACAATATATGAAGCTCCTTTTTTTACCCCCTCCCTAAGCTCTGACTTGGAGGTGACCCCAGTGTGTTGTAGGAATCAGGGCAGAGTCTAGGAAGAACTACAACCTGATCGCCACTGATACTTTTCCAAAGCTCAAAAGTTGGTGGTTTCAGCTGAAAGCTTAGGCAGCTCCTTTCCTGTGACCCAAGCATACTGTCCTGCAGTGGAACACACAGCAGACACATACAGTCACCATGCATTGGCTATTGAATACTCCCAGACACACAAAGGACTGTAGGTGAAGTGCACCGCCAAAGGTAGATGATGCGGGGGCAAAGGGCAACATCCAGGGGCTGAGGTCCTTACCATGTTTAGAGCTGCCATGTCTTTTCTCATTGCCAAACAGAGTAGTCTGACCAGAGCCCCCAGGGATCAGGGAGAGAGGACCATGTCCAAAAGGACAAGGACCTCAAGGGCTCAGAGGAAGTGAATGGCAGGAGAATGTGTTTGGCTTGTCATGTCATGATTCCATGGCCCCCTTTATTGTCTGCTTATGCTTTCATCTAAGTGAAGATCACAGTCTTTGGAATTCTCTGCACACGTGGTTGGAGGCCAGAAAAAGGCGGCTAGGGCAGACAGCAAGGCATGCTAACCCTGGAAAACGAGGTGTTAAGGCGAAAAAATTGTGATGGGAGTTCAATAGCCAAGCAGAGATAAGGCAGCGTGTTGTGTTGTCTCACAAAAGAAAAGGTTCAGACCCAGGGATGAGGGTGGCATCAATCTTCTGTGAGGGGCAGGATTATTTGGAGGAGATTTGTGGCCTCCTGTGGGGGTGGGACCAGCGAATGAGGTTGTAAGGACTTCTTCAGCCTCTGGGAATTATTCCTTTCTCCACCCTCTAGTTCCAGCACGGACACCTCTGTGAGGTGAAAGAGAAACATCTTGGGTAAGAAAGTATTTTCCCTAATCCCAGAAAGGGGGGAGGTGCTGGGGATGAGTAGACTGTACCCCTGCGGCTTACCTCTACCTGCCCATGTTTGAGACTTTAGAAAATCCAGACTCAGCTAGGTTGACGAAAAGGGGCCTGGGACAAGATAGTTACCTGACTCTGAGTCTCTGGCATTTCCATCTTATCCACAGCACTACCGACAGCAAGGCAATCAGCTGTAGGATTAGGGATAACCTGATAGCTTCATTCAGAACATAATTCCAGGTGACAGTGCCTGTGACCAGAGGAGACCAAGAACAGGGACCTTGGTGTATATCAGGGTCAGCTGAATATACTCCTGGGGGTGGGTGTCAGTCTATTATTGAGAGTATTTATATTAGGAAGCTGAAACAGAGGTCCGTTTTTCTTTTCTTGGGGTATGGGAACCTTGAAATCATCTTGGCCACCGCTTTGGAGTGATGGTAGGACCCCACTTCACCATCCCGGGGGAAGGGTGCCCAAATGCTATGGGGCCCCAGGGGTGCGATGGCCAAACGTAATGGAAAGGGTCCTTATGAAGAGTTGCTCTCTCACCTGCCGGCCCCATCAGCTTCAGAGGCTTGCCGCGATGTGAGCAGACGTCAGGGTGTATGCGGTAGCGGCAACCGTAAGTTCCTGTGCTTTTCCCACCCACATTACTGAGCATGAAGTCTGCATCCACTGAACATGTGGGGGGTTTTGCTCGTTCTTCCCATTCCAAGGAAAATTCAAGTACAGGATGAGGTGCTCGGCACTGCAGAGTGAGGACTTGTCCCAGTTTGAACGTAGTGCTGGGCCAAGCTGACAGGGAGGGTTTGGGTGGCTTATCTGGAACCAATCCAGAGACCAGTGTTAGAAATCATCTGGAACCCGACCTCCTGCATCCTATTTAGTGTTTCTCAGCTCCCCAAGTGGTAGTCTCTTCCTTGTCACTTCCGTGAAATCAGTAGCTTCTATGTTGAATGGCAACATATGGACCCTGTTCCCTCCTTCGTGCTCTAGGAAGACCGATGCCTTGGTGCTCACACCTGGTAGTTACTCCTGACTCTGAAGGAAAATTTCTTTGCTGGGGTTCCCATGATTCTGGCTCAATTTTAGAGGGAGAGGGCTTCAGGAATAACTCTGGGAAAGATGTTTCCGAAATATGGTGGAGAAAAGCCTTCATCACACTCCTAATGTATCCCCCCTGTTCCCCCCCCCCCATCATATTTCCCTGTGGGGATAGGGCCACTAGTTATTCCTTCACCGGTTACCTAGTTCCATCAGGTACATTTCACTGCATAGTGATCCCATGTGTAATTAGGATAAAAACACACCAAAGTTTGCCTTCAGTGACAAGTACCACTGTGTTGTTTGCCGCCATTCTACTGGAATTCGCCCAGTCAGTTACAGATGCCAGAATCACTGTTGGTCATATTGTTGAGGAAGAATGAATTGCTGCCAACAGTGTTGGTGTCATGCACAAACGGAAGTGGCTGGTCTTCTCCTTTCTCACAGAGTGCTAGTCCTGCTCCATTAACTGGCCCATGACACCACAGGCCCATGTGCTGACCTATTTGAACCGCAGGACTGGGCTGAGCAAGTAGCTGGGTCTTGGGAAAAGTATTTAGGACAAGACCCAAAATAGAAAGGGCTAATGGTCTTACTGCCCCCTTCCAATACTTAGGGTTCTTTTCCTTTCCTTCTCAGAGCTTCCAACCAGTCACCCATTGGAAAGTCTTTGAGATCATTTGGACACAGTCTATACCCTTCCCCACTGTTAGTCCTGCATGCATGATTAGGTTGTCCAGGGGCCCCAGAAGGAGTCTTACAGATTTAGCCTCTAACACCAATGCCATCGTATACCACTTTCTTACCAGTTACCCAGATTTTCAGGATTTCACTAAGAAGTGAACCCCTATAAGACCCATCATAGTAAAAACAGAGGTAATGTCCAGCGTCGTTGACTTTCAAAGCCCGGAAGAAGAAATTTGCTTCATTTTTAATTGTTTTTTTGTGGTACAAGGTATTCTCCATGTCTTCAAGTCTCATCAAAGCAAAGGTCATTCCATAGATTGGCCCTTGGCACCTGAGATTCAGGCTTTCTCCAAGTGCTTGGGTGAGCCCAGGATAGGCTGTGAGAGTTGGTTTGGGGTAGAGTCCTGGAAAGGGAAGAGACCTTGAAGTTAGAGATGAGATCATTCTTCCGTACTGTTTTTCATTTTTTATTTTCCTAGTCTCTCTCCCTGCATAGGTAAAATTTACCCTCCCCGCCTTTCTTCATCCTTGTGTTCCTACTCCCCCCAGGAATGTTAGTCCCACCAATCCCCATGCCCTCTCACCAGACTCTATCAGTTCCACTAACTTATAACCATGTATAGGGGTGTGTCTCAGTGGAATATCTACAGTTGTAATTCCCTGCAATCTTCAGGTCCCTAGAATGCCAAAGTTGTCCTTCTAACCACCCAAGAAATTAAACCTCTGAAAATTACTTTGGTTCCGTATTTTGTAGAGCATGAATATGACCAATATGACTAATACTAAGTATTAAATATGACTTTTGAGTGCATGAACTCCAACAAAGAGATTGTACTATGAAACAGGACAGATGTCACCTCCATAACACCCATTTTTAGCACCACCCCGATCCCTGGTAGATCCACTCATCTACTACAGAAGATCAACTCCATCACATTTAGGATGTATCAGGCATGATGTAGTTAGGATTGCACAGTAAAAATGATAGTCCTTGCCAGCAAAAATCCCCTCGCCTAGTGGAAGATATTAATGAGGAGGTAAATACAGTAATAAGTATTAATGGAATCTATGCAGAAAGTATTTCAGCCTATAGCAACCCTATAGATATGAGTTTTGAGACTGTAAATCATTATGGGAGCAGACAGCCTCATCTTTCTCCCGTGGAGTGGCTGCTGGGTTTGAACTTCTGACCTTGCCACCAGCCACATAACAGGCACCCATATCTGCAGTTCAAACAGTCCTTTGTTCTTTAAGAAAATCTACACTAATATAATGAATATCTACCATTTGTTGAGAATGTATTTGCCAGGCACTGTACATATATTTAGGGGAATCCTCACAACAACCCTGTGAAGTAGGCATTCTTAAAGGTTTGTTTGTTTGGTTTTTTTGGGGGGGGGGTTTGGGGGGGTACATTCACAAAATGGAGGCACAGAGAGTCAGGGAGAGTAAGCCGGATGGATATTATTATCTAAGTTGAGAAAACCAAAATAAAGAGAGAGGAAGTGATCTGCTTCACCTCACACAGGGAGGCAGTGTGGAACTAGAAGCCAAGGTTAGTGCCCGTCAGTCCAGGGTACTTTCATCCAGTTGTCTCTAAGTTGAACCCGATAGAGAGATGTGGCCAATGGAATGTGAGAGAGATCGGAATGGACTGCGTGTCTGGCTCTTGGGATATTTTGAGAAACCTGTTTGAAAATTGTTTGAAGATTGGTACTGCCATAATGGATTGAACGATATAAGATTACATTAACTTCTAACATATTCACTGTAACTTATCCAGGTCCTTGTTTTTTTTTAATTACTATCACAAGCAATTTGCTCCATTTTCTACCCTTAAAAATAATAAAGTATAATGCATTAACATTCCAAAATCAGGTTTTGAGTCTTGCTGCTGGCAGTGCCTGGTATATTTTAGGTGCTCCGTAAGTATTCGTTGACTGAGTGAATGTGTGCCCAAGATTTAACAAGTTGAGAACAAAACAGCTGTAATGAGCTAGAGCGGCTTGACAACCGGCTGCGCTCATTCACTAACCAAGTGATTGAATCCCACACCCGTGACTCCCCAGCATGTGTGGTTCTAATTTGCATCTCCAATAAAAGTTAAGTGGCTCCGGCTCATGGACCATGCAGGGTTTAGAAATGGGCGGAAGCAAATCAAATCAGAAACCCTGGGCTTACCTGGCCATAATCCCTGGAGCAAGAATGTCAGACCCCAGCAATTATAAACACACCCACCTGCTGCTATAACCACTTTCAGGGGATCACTGGGCTCTGACCACAGGGTGAGGAGCATCTGGATACGAGTGTGGCAGATGTAAACTCCTTCATTTTCATGTGTCAGGTTGTCAGTGGAGAATATGGCCACTGTCCCAGTTGGAATTTGGTAATCCACAGGCCCAGCATATCCCTCTTTAAACAGCGTTAATATCAAATCCGGCAACAATCCATGGCAGAGTATGCTAACATTACATCTAGAAAGAGTGGAACTCTTGGCCTCAATTGAGAAAATGGACTTGGGAAGTTGACCTGAAGGAAAGAATGAAAGAAGGAACTAGAATTCAGGTAGAGTAAGGATCGTGCTGCCAGGGAATTACGCTTTTAATAAGACCTTGGGGTTTTCATGGCACTGTAAGGAAGACATGTGTCTGTTCACCTCAAGTTTGGAACTTCAAGTCCACCAGCTATTTAATGGGAGAAAGAGGAGTCTGCCTGCTCCCTTGAAGATTTAACAGGGTCTGAGTGACTTGGAATTGACTCACTGATAGTGAGTTTAGTTTGGTTTGGTATAATCCTTATTGTACAAAAGCCCTCCTCCCCCCATCTCTAGATCTTCTTCTTGTTGAGAGCTTTCCCTCTAGAAAGAAGGAAGCATCTGTTCCAGGGCCTGCATCTCCACTGCGCACTGCTTCATACAGAGTAGGCTCTTATTACATAACTGTGAAATGCATGCATGCATGTACTTGGGGTAAATGAGTGAATAAATAAAAGAAAACCTGCCCTGGAATGATGAGTACGTAACCGTCTCTCTTACCTGGTGCCTCCAGCTCTAGAATTTGACTGGGTTCTGCGCAGCCTATCTCCTGCCAGTAGTAGCACCTGTAAAGACCTGCACTGGACTCAGTAAGAGCACCAAGAGCACCGATGGGGAATGAAACTTGGAAAGTCTTGTAAGTAGGCTGGACCCAGAACATCTGGGTCTTGTCCTTCAGCAGCAAGGACTTGCTATATACTCGAGAGGGAATGCTGCACCAGAGTGTGATGTTCTCCCAAGGGGCCTGATGGTAGCTGGTTTCTGTGAACAACTCCATCACTGCCATTTCTAAAGACCACAAAGAGGTGAGTCATTGCACCCTCCCCATTCCATAAGATGCTTTCCCCAGGTTCCTTAAAATTAGCCTCACATCAGATCCTTCTTTATACCTCCCCTTGGGGATAGGAGTGTCTACCTGGTGTGAGGGACAGGGACCCCAGGATGTTTGTTTAAGGAATCCAAGCTAGATAAAGAATAAAGGACATTTCCTCTTCTATGGGAAACCAAGTTGCCAATAAAGCGATTTGATTCCCAACCAGTTCACTCAGGGAATTGTCTCAAGGCCATATCCAAGGCCACGGAGGCAAACGAATGCCTTGAAGCCTACTGGAAAGAAGGCACCCAATGTAGCATAACTTGCTTACCCATCTGTGTCAAACCCAGACTCAGTCCTGCAAAGAGAGATGATGGTAAATAAGAGGTCCCTCCCTGCCCCCACTCTATCCTTAAACTTGAAGCCTCTCTTTTACCTCCACAAGCTTCCTATCCCCCTATCCTGTGGCAGTGCCTGTCCCCTCATTTGCCCCTCACCCCTTTCTTGTACTCACCGATGAAGAAGGGCAAGATAGTAAATGTGTGCAACATGGTGGCCTCTCTCCTGGGCTCCACAGGATTGTGGGCCTCTGGTTCTCACTGTGGGCTTTCCGACTTGAGGGACTGTGACCTTCAGTAGGTGACTGGATCTAAAAAATAAAGACACTTTTATTCAGGGACTTATCTGCTCCTTAGAGTTTAGTTTAGATCACTAAACTGCACTTGCAAACTCCATCATCTTCCATCCCTTCACTGCATGTCATGTGTTGAAGCGTTATATGCTATTTCCTCTCCTTGACCCTTTTTTCTACTTCCCCATCCTCTCTCCTAAATTCTTAGCAGGTATCTAAGGTGTCATATTTTTCTGAAATGCCGATTTGTCCCTGGGATCTCAGAGTCCCAGTGGGCTACCAAATCCAGATCTTCAGAAGCCCGCATTGCAGATGATAAAAATACACACACACACACACACACACACACACACACATTCACTGAGTATTCCAATAAAATATTTCTACAGACTCTTTTTAATTTAAATTGCAGTATAAATCCAACATTCATGCCATAAAACCAGTATTTACATTTCCAGAGGTGGCCCACGTCACCTTACCTCACTCATTCCAATCTCATCCCATTCCTACTTTTACTTCTATGGAACACTTCAAATCCTATGTTATTCGCATTCTTATCTGTTGCTCCCAAAAGTTCACTAACTTTCTCTCAAGATGATATAAGTGAATCAAACTTCTTGAACCAATTCATATAAGGTGTAAATGATTTATTGACCACTCAACCTTCCAAACATTTTTGTTTGTTGGTCATAGGAAAAATGGAATTGGTTGAATCTTAGGGAGCATGGTGAAGATATTTGAATTCAGGAAACACTTTCCCATTTTCCTGGAAATCACTAGTGACAATATGCCCTGCATTACATGCTCCCCAATTGTCTTTTTGCTAAAGGAAAGTGAAGTCCCAATACACAAGCTCCACAGCTCTGTATTCATGGCCTGAGGTTTTGGCTGCCCCCACAATTTAGTCCCTACTTCAGGAGAGTAGGGTAGAGGCAGTTCTCAGAATAGCGAAAAGGCTGCTTTCACTTTGCCAAACTGATCCTAGTTCTTTGGCCTCCAATTTGCTCCAGTGCCAATACTGGGTTTTGTGCAGGAGCTGGAAGGTGTGTGTTTTTGTGTGTGGGGTGTGTGTGTGTGTGGTCATTTTGAAAACACCTGGACTGCAGGAAGCAGCTGGACAGTCAGAGATCCAAGAAGTCACAGCTCCTTTCTGCATTTCTCACTGTTCATCAAAGGATGCTCAAATTACCCTCTGTGAACTTCATGAAGTGGAGAGAATAACATGTACCTACAATTGAATTGTGGTCGTGGTGTATTAGAGATAAACAGTGCCAGGCACGCATAGAAAGCATTTCATTAAAAGCTAGCTGTGTTTTCCTTCTTCCCGAAGAAGGCATCAAACTTCTGCAGGACCTTAAGATGTCCTTTTCCTGGCAGCCCAACTCCTTGGCCCCGCTCCCCTCAGACCAGGCCAAAGCTGGGCCTCCCCCCTATTGTGCTGTTATTCTGGGGCTTTCAGGCCTGGACATACTGAGAAAGTCAGACTCTACTGCCACAGGAAAGGGTCCACTTGGGATTCCACGCAGGAAATGCCAATAAAAGTCCCAGCATTCGACCTTGGGCTCCCTGTCTAGGGCCTTTGCCTCTTGAGGGTTTGAATGGAGTCAGAGCAGCTGGGCCACTCAACACTCTCTAAGGGTACTGTGCCTTGTATTTCCAGTCACGTTGGTGAATTGCATGCCCCAGGAACATCCCAAGCTTTAGGACTGAAGAGGGACATTGGACACGCCCAGCCCAATGTTCTTTCAGTCCAGTCCCTGTCCCTGCACCAGCCCCACCCCACCCCCAATCTTTGCTCTCAAGTCATTTTACCCTTTCCTTCTATTCCAGCCCTTAGGCAGTGCTGCAGTGCTTTTTGAGGGTGACATGCCTGAAATGTCTGCTGGCTCGCCCCCTGCATAGTTTAGAGGCTTCCAGGAATCAAAGAAGTTGGGCTCTGCTGGGTGGTGGGTATAGGCACCACTGAGGATTTGTGGGCAAGACTGAGAAGGAAAAGGAAAGCTATCTAGAGTGCCCAGAGATTCCCAGCCAGGCTGGGCTGGGATCCTGGGAGGGAAGCAGAGAAAGAGAGGGTGAAGGAAGTGAAGGGAAGACTGGGGAACAGTTGAATTTACAGCAATTAATCACAACAGGGCGACTCTCTCAGGGTTTTGTTTGGGCTTCTGTTTAGGATCTGTTGGTTGGTATTTAGTTTTCAAGCCACTGAACAATGCGCTCATTTTCAGGTACTTACGGTAGCTGAAGACCCGCTCTGCTGTTGGAGATTCTCCAGTGAGCTCCTCCAGATGCAGCAAACTGCCCGGCCTGGGAATAGCTGGCTGTGGGCAGCCCCTCTTGCTCCGACCCCGCCTCCTTCGGCCCCCAGACCGCCTGCCGGCCCGCCCCAGCCCCCTCCCTGCCCTCCCCCAGGCCGTGGGAGCCCACCTACACCCACTCAGCGGGCCACCTGCAGTCTTCTGACGACCGACCGGGATCTCTATGCCCCTCCCAGCTGCCCGCCTCTCTCCTGACTCCCTGCAGAGGCCATTGGAGCCAAATTCTGGCCCCTGCCCCCTCGCTTGCTGGTCGCTCAGAGTTTCATTGGGTCACTGTATTCTGGAGGGGAGAGGGCCAGTTCTTGCCAAAGCTGTGGATCCCTGCTTCCAGGGCCCGGTGCCTTTCAAGAGCTTTCAGACCAGACTCTGCCCATTCAATGCTTCCTTTATGCATAAGAATAGTCACCATCGTTTCAATGCCTACTATGTGCTATTCGGCCCCGTGACTATATTATTTCTAATCTTCATAGCAACTCTAAAGATAAGTGTTATTTCCCACAGTTTTATAGACGAGGAAACCGAAGACCAGAGAGGGTTAAGTAACTTGGACATCCTTCAAACTCCAACTTGGGAGAAAAGCCCAGGCTTTAGAGACATACAAGCTGGAGTTTCAGTACAGGTTCCACTCTTTAATAGCTTCGTAAACTCAAGGAAGTGAGTTACAGTCTCTGAGTCCCAGTTTCCTCACCTGTAAATAAACAACAAACCAAAAACAACAGGGCTTCAATGTTATGATGCAAATAAAGCTCACAGCACAGCGCCTGTCACAGTTAGTGCTTCAATAACTGTGTTTGCTGCTGCTGCTGCTACTACCACGCTACTGCTACTACTATGACTATTGATTTATAAAACCTACCCCAACTGACGTAGAGTTACACTACTTCAGCGATGTAGAACAAACTTTCACAAATTTAGTTGGCCATGAAAGACTTTTAAAAATGATAATGCATGAATGACTAAAACACTAACCCAAACACTTGAGACATAACATATGATGGGACTGAAGTAGAGCATTCAAATAGACTCACAGATCAAGAAAATTTATTAATAAATAACCCTATTTTTAATTATGTGCATCTCAAACTACATTTAATTGCAGTAAGTAGGTAGCAAAACATTTGCTGTTTCCACAATCTTCACACGTATAATTCAATGACATTAAATATATTCATCATGTTGCTCAATCATCACTATTAACTGTTCCCAAATCATTCTTTCACCCTTTATGTGTATTTTTTAACCTTCATAAAAGATTACAGATAATGCATTAAAATACTTTAATAAAAAGTATACTGAAAATAACTTTTAATGGGGCAAATCCCTATTCGCTTCAGGCATCAAGAGATCTCCGTTGCTGCTTCCAGGTATCTTCAACTACTGTGTGCCATTATAAACTATTTGTTAGTTGTATAATGAATAGAGCGACTATGTTACTGTGGTTGTTAGGTGCTGTTGCGTTGGTTCTGATGCATAGAGACCCCATGTATAACATACTGCATCGCTGCCTTGTCCTGTGCCACCTTCACAATTGTTATATTTGGGCCCATTGTCGCAGCCAGTCTGTTAATCCATCTCACCAAGGGTCTTCCTCTTTTTCTGATGTTCTCCTCCTTTACTAAGCATGATGTCCTTCTCCAGGAACTGGTCCATCTGATAACATGCTTAAAGTATGTGAGATGAAGCCTCCCCATCCTTGCCTTTAATTATCATTCTGGTTGTACTTCTTTCAAGACAGAGTTGTTTGTTCTTTTGGCAGTCTATGGCACGTTTGATGTTCTTTGCTAGCATCATCATTCAATTGCACCGATTCTTCTCCAATCTTCCTGGAAGTTGGTGATACCAGTAAATAATCCTGAGGCACACCTTTTCCACATCCAGACCTTGAGCCCAGGGGTGCAAAGTATTCTCAATGAAAAAAATTCAGAGTTTATATATATACTAGACCCAAGATTTTCTTAAGTACATATTATAAATGTTGAAGTAGAGATTGGTAAAATGGAAAGGCAAGAATGAAGTGATATGTTAGATAGGATTTCTGAGCTCAAAGGACTCTCATGGAAAGAAAAGAGCTCCTACCATACAAAGTTATAAGGGCCAGAAGCCTTAAAAGATTCCCAAGAAGGTGGAGCTCCAAGGAGATGAAACATCCAAAGCTAAGTATGTACACAGGCTAGTCTGGGCAGTCTTTCTCCTTAATTGAATCGACTATTGGATGATTACCTGAGGTCCTTTAGCTGAATCTGTGTTAGGGCATGTCAACCTGAAGAAGCATGAGACAACGCTGGCCCTTTTCTACAGGTGTGCTAGAGTTGGCTAACAATGGCTCAGAACTTTATATGCCCATCTTATATCAGTGTGGTATTCAGTGACATTATGTTGGTGGAAGAATTTACACCACAGAAATAAGCAAACTTTACAAAACAACTTCCTCACTAACAATTTGGTTGTAAAGCATTTACTACTACAGCATTTCTCTCCATTTCTCACTAAGAAACAAGGTCATTTCCAAAACACGACTCAAGAATTCTGATGTCCTTTCGCTGGTATGATGAGACTCATTCCCCTTCCATTGCATGGCGAACCAACTGGGACTTCGTCAGATTCCTCAAGTGTGTGTTGCACGTAGAGCTGAGAATGGTTGCTAGCACCCCTTCACAGCCATTATCTTAGTCTGCCAGGGAGAGGGATATGAAATATACAAGCAAGGAGCTAAGAGATGGGACTAGCCAAGTGGTCTTCTGAGGCAGTGAAAAGGCCCACCCCTTCTGACAGGTTCCAGGTGTCCTCAAACTACGCGGGCCACATGCGGCCCCGCCGAGGACATGTATCCTGCCCGCCGGGTGTTTTTGCCCGTTTTGTTTTTTACTTCAAAATAAGATATGTGCAGTGTGCATAGGAATTTGTTCATAGTTTTTTTTTAAACTATAATCCGGCCCTCCAACGGGTCTGAGGGACAGTGAACTGGCCCCCTGTTTACAAAGTGTGAGGACCCCTAGTAGGCTCCCACAGCAAAACCTGCTGTTGAAGGTAGGTGTAGAAGTAGTGGGTGGTGAAGGTTGAATGTGAAAGTATTAACTTCTTTTCCGTGTTGTATAAGACTTCTCCACAGTGACTCAGAAGAAAGGGAGCTGAGGACGATCCACAAAGCCTAGGCTTCAACTTATCCTTTATCAAGAATTTCAATATTAAGGGTGTAGTTAAGGGTACTAAACCACTTGGAACAGCTGTAACTAAGGGTGTTTTCAGGATTGTGCAGGAAGCTTCTTAAATCAAACGCAAGTTAGGACACCAGAGCTGAAACTTATTTCATCAAAGCACTCATCCCATCGTGAGCCATTAGGCATTAGATAGAAGTCTGCACAATCAAGCTTCTGGGTGCCTGTCACAGAGCAAAGGAACAGTGTGCTTACCTAAGTGAATTTAACTTAAGGTCAATGGGTGTATACAAGAAATGAGGTTTTGTTGTGTCCAATTTGGTACAGTCACATGGTTCTATTTGACTCACAAACTACTGATCAAAAAGGTAAGCTACTGCTCCACTGTGTGTGCATGTGTGTGCATATGAGTGATCAATTCACCTTTAAGGTGCATGAGGACTCTGAAAATGGGCCACATAGTGTTGAGTAGCCCCCTTTCCTGTGTTGAATAAAGTTCTTTGTCCCTGAAATGAAGTAGGTGGGTTCAGCCCCACTGCTTGGGACAAGCAAGCAGAGGGCTCCTGTGAAGTGCTTAGATCTGATCTAGGCAGGAAGTTGGAAGTGCAAATGACAGGAACGTTTTTTTCTGCTTTGGAATCTAACTTGCCTCAAAACAAACAAGCAAACAAACAAAAACAAAACTCAATATACTGATCCTATAAGACACAACAGAACTGTCCCTGCGAGTTTCTGAAGCTGTTAACTCTTGACAGAAAGACCCATCTTGCTCTCAAACTTGCATCCAGCATGTCCAAATTGCAAGCATTTGGTGGTGGGAGACTGTGCTGAGAGGGAGGGAGGTGTTATTGAAAAATGTACAAATGGGCTTTCCCAATATTTTTTTACCTTGAATCACTTGCCCAAAGGCAAGTCTAGATGTCAACAGCTGGGTTCTTTTGCCTCTATTTATTGCGTGATTAACAAGTGATATTATTAAAGTTAAATGGCCATCTGAATTGCAATAGCAACACACATAACAGTGTGAACACATATCACTGGCACGTTCATCCCTGTTTACAATGCTTCTAAAAATATCCGTTTATAGGCAATCACATATTTGCTTCTCTTTCAGTTCTAACTTTTCCATGCCCCAGCATATGGTCAAATTTTCTAAGGGATCCATGCATCCTTTACAAAAGAGACTTTCTCCTCCCCGCGACCTTTCTGTAAGGGGATATCCAACTGCCTACATGGGCTTTGGGTCTCCACTCTGCACTCCCCCTTATTCACAATGATCTGATTTTTTGTTCTGATGATGTCACAGGGAATAGACAAACCAGTCAGCAGGGAAGAGATGAACCAGTCAGGGTGCAGTTTAGCAACAACAAAACATACAACTTTCCTCTAGTTTCTAAATTCTTCCTCGCCCCCCCCCACCCCCACTGACTATCATGATCCGAACTCTACCTTGCAAGTCTGCCTAGACCAGAGGGTGTACACTGGTACAGATAGGAACTAGAAACACAGGGAATCCAGGATGGATGATCCCTTCAGGACCAGTGGTGAGAGTGACGATACTGGGAAGGTGGGTTGGAAAGGGAGAACTGATTACAAGGATCTACATATAACCTCCTCCCTGGGGAACAGACAACGGGAAAAGTGGGTGAAGGGAGACGTCGGACAGTGTAGGATATGACAAAACAATAATTTATAAATTATCAAGGGTTCATGAGGGAGGGGAGAGCGGGGAGGGAGGGGGACAAATGAGGAGCTGATGCTAGGAGCTTAAGTGGAGAGGAAATGTTTTGAGAATGATGAGGGCAATGAATGTACAAATGTGCTTTACACAATTGATGTGTGTATGGATTGTGATAAGAGTTGGATGAGTCCCTAATAAAATGATATGA